TCCTTGTACAACACCATCATTTGACTTGCCACCAGAGAGCCTTTGAGATAACTCTCACGCTTCACGCAATATGCCCCCAACCCCCCCCCCCCCCCCCCCCCCCCGCGCCCATAGTCGTGCTGTGCAAAAGCACGCCTTATGCTGCACACATGCCACCCACCCAGCCACCCCTTCCAAACGCGTGAACGCGGAAAACATGCAAAACTGAATCGAAGCCAGAAGGAATCCGTAGAGAACCAGGCCTTTTCGTCCGCTCGCATTCTGGCATTCAAGTCCCGGCACACCACACAAAAGAACGCCAGAGACGCAAGAACATGCGTTGCCAACCACCCAGCTGCCTGCTCATTGCAAACTGAAGGACAAAGCGCTTAGTCGAGACCATCTGCGCCGTCCATGTCCACATCTTCATTATCAGCCACCTTCCTGGGCTCTTCGAGATCCTTCTTGAAAGCCGCCTTCTTCGCGTCTACATCGTCCCGGCTAAGATCCTTCATCCAGGTGTTGTTCCTGACGAGAATATCTTGGACCCTCTCTCTCCGCTCGTCGTTGAGCTTCTTGTACTCTTCAGCTGGGTTGGGGACGGCCTCGCTGAGACCCGCGCGCACGGCGTCTGGTTGCAGGAAGTATTGAACACCACCTGTGCCGAAAGGTTCGCTATTGATAAAGGTCATGATGTAAGCGGCGGGGCTGATGGACACGGTGATCTTGTCGCTGTGCTTGACGTGGTCGAAGCGTTCTTCCTCGGTGAGATCTTCGGCTCGAGCGAGACGCTTCTTGAGGTACGGGTAGTTGACGCGGGACAGGTCGACTTCTTCGGTGGGTTCCACGGCCATGTACGAGGCGACGTATGCTCGCCAGCGCTTAATCCGGTCGAGCGTGGTGAAATCGAAGGTCGGGTCGTCCTTCTTGAAAAGCCGCACGTGCGCCCACATCTTGGCGGGGTTCTGTAGAAACATCAATACATGATCTATAAGGGGGAGGTGGTGTTGACTTACGTAGGTGATGCGGTAGGTGTCAGCGTCCTTGGCGAGCTTCTCCACAGCCTTGCGATAGCTGATCTCGTTCTTGTGGGTCGTGGTATCGTTGACACGATCCTTCCTGAAGAGGTTGTAGATATCAAGGCTCTTATCCTTGTTATCATGACTGACGACAGCAAGAGCGAAGCGAACAAGCGAGCTCAGGAGCCTGTCGAAGGAGTACAACTGCCACCCAATCTGCAAATAGTACCTTCGTAAGGTCTCCTCGATAAAGTTCATCTCGACTTCGCCAGAGATTTGATCTTGGAACATTTCGAGAAGCTGTTGGTAGTAGTTCGCTGATGGCGATGTGTCCTTGAAAAAGTCGTCGGGCTGCTTGTCGAGCATCTTGAGCTTCTGCGCTGCCTTTGGCTCCTTGGCGCGCGCAATGACTTCTCGTACCTCCTCTTCGCTATCCTTGAGCTTCAACAGCCTCTCGTAGAGCATGACGAACATGCGGAAGAAGCAGTAAATCGAAGCGTTGGAGTACATGTTGTACTCTACTCGTTGGTAGGGTTCTTCGTGTTCGAACTCTCGGTCGCCGAAAGGCGTGGGAGCATCGGTATATTCTACCCATTGCCTCTCTGGCCGATCTGCGCGAGGATTGGAGTTTGAACTGTCAGCAGCAGCTTCCTCGTCCATAGCGGATGCGTCCGGAGTACTGTCTCGGCTCGCCGACGCAACACTGTCTTCCTTGTCCTTTCGTGATTTGTTGTTGGGGTCGAGAACATTGCGACGGAGGTCCCCCTTCTTCAATTTCTGCGAGCGTTGGGAAACATCATCGTCTGGAGAGGGCGTGTCCTCGCCAGAATCGTTTGGCGTATCACGTGGCGAGGTTTGTACCCGCTGCTCGAACTTGGCAGAATCGATACCAAAGAAGAGAGGAACGAATTCCTTGATAAAAGGTACGACCTTTGCAAAGTCGGCACTGTTGTTGTTATCCGCAAACGTAAGCATTAGCCGAGCCACGTCGAAGAGTACCTCTTCATCCCGGAAGGAAAAGGCAAACTGGTAGTCCGGCTGCGATATCTCTTGGATCTGCTGGAGGCGCTTCTGCTCTTCGTATCTGACCTGGATCTCGTTCGTAAGGGATTTGGGCTGGAACTGTCGCTTGTCGGCCTGCTTGACGGTGATGCTCTGGTGATCCAGCGATTTCCAGAAGATCTTTTGGGTCTGATCGCGCCAGACCTTCTCCCATTCACGCTGGGCGGCCTTCCAATCCTCGAGTTTGGTCTTCAAGCGGTGGAGGAGTACGGGAACGACGCTCCAGGGCATTTGGAACAGTTCCTTAATCACGTCCTTTCCCCTGTCACGGCCATAGATCTTCATAATGACACGTTTGTAGATCGTCTCACTCTGTCCACCAAGTCCAGGCGGCAATGTGAATCCCTGTCTGTCCTCCGGCTTCATCGTGAGCAGCTGGTTGGCGATAGGCTCCAGCTGTTGGATCGTGCGGCTGCAGGCCTCGATGTTGAAGTCGTAGTCGTGGCGCTCTTCCTCGATTCTGTGCAAGCCCTCCTCGAAAGTGTTCTTGCGATGGGCAACGAAACCAGAATCCTCGGAGGCCCAGGTCGGGTGAGATGCCCACTCGTCGTTCAGAACAGATCTGCAGAGCTCGTCGCGTCCACTACACACGCGTTCTCGTTCGCGCCTTGGGAGCAAGCGATAGCTAGGACCAAGACTGCGGCAGTTCGATAATGAGACACGCGAGTTGACAGTTTTGGGGCGGTACTTTTGCTGCTCTTCGTCCTCGCCCATGAACTTCTTGAACCAAGCATAGAGTTCCTGATTCCCGCCGATGAAAGAACCGGCGCGAGACAGTAGTAACTGCTTGTCGATCAAGTCTTGCGAGTAGAGGTTGCAGAGCTTCAAGAACTCGTTCATTGTGTTTTTGTTTCCAATGAACTTCTTGACGCGGTCAAAGAAAGCAAGCTCATCCTGGCTGGGTGTTGTGGTCGTCGTCGGTGGCATTGGCTCAGGTAGCGCAGGAGTCAGAGTGGGTGATACCGGTGGTCCATCGGGAATTGCCTGCTTTGCGCCATGTCCGGTCTTTGCGCGCTTCAACATGTTAGTTGATGATCTTTTGTGATGCTCTATTGCATTCGAAGGAAGGCCTATTTTCATCTCTGGTGGGAAGAGAGCTAAACAGTACCCCACCATCAAACATAGTGATGATAGTCTCGATGACAATGGTTGTGATTTGGTGGGGTTGAGATGGAAATAGAATTTGACCAAAGGAAAGAATTGAAAGGGTTGGGGCAGAGAGCCGTGGAGATGCACGTGCCTCTATAAAGAAAAACAACGTGACCTAACCCTGCCCGTTATAGTGTGAAATCATGTACGTACCTTGTTGACATTGCCCTGGTTGTATCCTCCTCGAACGTTTGAGGTTGGCATTTCTTGCGACATGGGCGCGGGCATCGGTGCAGCCACAGGGCCTTGTCGCTCGCGCTTCCTCTTGTTGTCGCGGTTCGCTGTAGGTGTAGGTGCGAAGTTGCCCATCGGAGGCAATCGAGATGTATCGGCGCGTCCGGGCGTTTGTTGGTTTGCAGCGGCACCGTATCCTGATTCACCTCGAACATTGCTGAGCATGACTGCGTCTTCAGCCGCGTTCTTGGCGGCCTGCTGTTGCGCTCTGTGTTGAGCAGCGGACTCCGGAAGGAACTGCTTGAAATCTTCCAGGAGATCTGGCGCACCACCAAACAGGTGGGTGACTTGGGCGTAGACGTCCTGAATGGGCTTCGACTCTCTCTGGTACGTCTGTAGTATCTCCAGGAAGTTTTTGTAAATGTCTGGGTGAGCTGCGAATCGGTTCTAGGGTACTATTAGCACTTTGATTTTCAACCTCACAGTGAAGAATGGTACCTTGATCTTGTTCACGTAGCTAATCGCGTGGTTGAACTCTACTGGCCCTCTCTTCTCTGCTGCAGCCCCGCCCATCTGTGGAAGCTGAGCAGCACCGTTCATAGCCTGTCCTTGTAACGAGGCACCCGGATCAACGCTGGGTGACATCATTGAGCGGCCAGTAGCTGCAGATACTGCGTTTTGTAACTGCGAAACGCCTCTCTGCTCTTGTTGGTGAGCTAGCGCTGCAGCTCCAGCAGGGTCAGGATGAGGACGCGATGTGACCTCTGGCGAGTGAGGAGCTGGGCCCTGCTGTCCTTGGGGACCGTACAATGGCCCTCCTAGAGTACGGTTATTGGGTGAAAACATCGATTCTTGTCCCTCAGGACCTTGAGCTCTCTGTTGTTGAGGCCATGGGCGTCCTTGGGCAGTCTCGTAGTATGTGCTCTCGTGTTGCGGGCCGTTGTTGCCATTGACAGCACCGCTGCGTGGCGGTGAAAGCGGCCTTGGAGCGGGCATAGTCGATACCATGGTTCCCATGGGCGTGGTGACTCTGATAGCGTTTGGGTCGCCGTTGGTGCCACACTCGATCTTGTAGCCGGGTGGCAGAAAGGTGTTGAAACCTTGGATCAAGGCCGGATTGCCCGCAAACAGTGTCGATACCCTCTCAATGACGCCTGGGGTGTCGATAGCACCGCTCTTGAAATCCTTCATGATGTCGAGAAACCGGTTGTACACGTCGGGGTGGTCGGCGAACTGGACTTTGACCTGGTCGAGATAGCTCAGGGCGTCGTTGAGGATGGGCTGCTGTCCCTGGCCCATAGCCATGGATCCTGGAGGGCCAGCAAAAGGCATCAACATCTGGGCCTGGGTAGGTGCCTGTACAGCGTGTTGCATGCGCGGTGTAGTCTGCTCATGCTGTGCGGGCGCATTTCCATACATGGGGCCTGAGTTGGGGCCACCCATGGGTGGCGCAAGTGGGTTTGGCCCGTTCATGGGTCCAGATTGGCCAAGCAGACCGTTGGGACCGTGGATGGTTCGCGTCGAGGGTGCGACTGCCACTGGCTGGTGTATTTGGATCGGCCCTGAGTGGTTCTGGTGCGCAGCGTGCTCGCGCTGCTGTCGCTCATGCAGGTCGCGGTCCCGCTGCTCTGCCTCGCGCTTGACGATGTCTTCTTGCTGGTGCATGGCATGCGACTCCATCTCTCTGTCTCTGTTTTCGCGATCGCGCATCTCGCGCTCTCTGTCGGCGTTGGCTTGCTCCGAAGTCGGCATGTGCTGCTGCTGCTGTTGTAGGGTTTGCGAGATGCCGGGTAGTGAGTACGGAGGGGCCTGCGGGCCTTGGTGAGCTTGCGCGCCCGCGTCTGACGATGGCGGTCGCTGGGCGGACATGTGGGGCGACGAGTGCTGAGGTTGCGCCGTCAGCCCGGGAAGTGTGGGGAGGTTCTGGTTGTGGGCTGTCGCGGCGTTTGACGAGTAGTAGCCGCCACCTGTGACGGGGTTAGCAATGCGAACAGGCGCGTCGTCCGCCGGTGCTACGTACCAGATGGTGGAGGGAGTACTGGTCCCGGACCCTGGGCGGGTGACGCATGTGAGGGACCCTGGGGCGTCGCGCTGTTTGGCCTGTCATCGGTCTCGAAGTCAGCGTGAATCCAATCGAAGGGTGGTGAGAAAAGGAGCTCGCAGGCGTCTTCGCTCATGGTGCCCGTCTGCTGTGGGCAGCGAGTGGGAGGCGAGTACGCACCCATAGGGACCCAGAGGCCGTGGCGCCTGGCCTTGACCCTGCTCTGTTTGCTGCTGGCCCTGCCCAGCTGCCGCCGCTTGTGCAGGCGGCCACCCGTCGCGATGCGCTGGATTCATGTCCTCGGCTTTACCAGGCGTGCCGGCGATAAGGCAGCTTGCGTAGCCGGTTCGGTAGTCGCGTTATCGTGTGTTGAGCGGATTAGCCTCTGCTGGAGCTCATGGGAGGCTCGTTTCTTCGAGGGGGGTCTGTTGGGCGTGGTGTGGCTCGTAACTGGAACTCGGTCGCCCGCTGTTGATCAGGAGCAAAAGCGCGGCTGGAGCTGGCACGGGGACCCAAGTCGCGCGATTCGGGCGTCGACAGAAGATGGGACGGCGGTCGAGATGTATGCGACAGGCTCGAACGAGTCAAAAAGAACAATAGCGAAAGGGCAGGCTGGTGATGATGCTTCCGCTATCGACACAGGTTCTCGTCAGGGACCACAGATCGGTGCAACTGTCGGCCCGGAAGGCGGTGGCAGAAAATCAATCAGCGCGTCATCTAGCCGAGCCACTCGGCCGTCAGCCTTATCTGAGATGCCGCATGCCGAAGCTACTTTCCCTTCGTTGGCTTATGGTATATTTTCACGCAAACCTATACCAAGTTTCACGCGTCGTTTCCAAAATGAAGCACGAAAATATGTATTCACTCCATATGACTTCGGTGGGAAGCCAATTCAATCGCACTCGCCCATCCCCACCACAAACGCCTCAAAACCACAACATAAGAAGACTCGTGATGCTCGTTGTCCATTCCGTACCCTCCGCTCAATCCTTCATTAGAAGATCCACTGGAAACTCTCAGTAACCTCAAAGCCGACTCTTGACCTGGACATCATATTAGTAATCTCGCTTGAGTGAACCAACCAAGCGGCGGACTTACCTGATATCAGCGCTGCTAGCACCAATCAACACCTCAAACGCGCCCTCCTCTGCAATCCAGGCACCTGTCTGACCAAGACTCGTGTCAAAGTATCCCACGGAGTACTTGTCCAGTGCCAAGACTACATCCTTCGTCTCATCAGGCTGCAAGAAGACTTTGCCGAAAGCCTGGAGTTCCTTCTCGGGGCGAGGAAGCGTCGATTTGACGTCTTTGACGTATGCTTGTACAATTTCGTGCGCCGCAAATGAACCCGTGTTCGTGACTGGTACGGTGATGGTAATCTTCCCATCCTCAGAGAGTACCGTGCTGCTAGCACTCGGTGTTCCGTATTCGAAGGTCGTGTACGTGAGACCGTGGCCAAACGCAAAGAGCGGTGCAATCTTGGAGCGCTCGTAATGCCTGTAGCCCACGTAGATACCCTCGCCGTACACAGTCTTCAAGTTCTCGCCAGGCCAGTTGTGGTACGCGGGGTTGTCTTCGATACGGACAGGGAAGGTCGTTGGCAATTTCCCGCTGGGACTGCTGTTTCCGAGCAGCACATCGGCAAGAGCATTTCCTGCTTCCTGACCTTGGTACCATGCTTGGAGGATAGCTGGTGCCTTCTGTACCCATGGCATGGTAATCGGTGTTCCAGATTGGTTGACGATGACGGTGCGCGGGTTGGCAGCTAGAACAGCTTCGATCAGACGATCCTGCGAGCCGTTCTTCGGAAGATCCATCGTTTGCCTGTCGTATCCTTCCGACTCCCACTCGGCGTCCAGTCCAACGACTACTACAGCCACATCAGCATCACGCGCTGCGTCCGCGGCTTCCTGTAGACGATCGATCTTGTCCTCCTCTTGGTAGCCGATTCGGCAGCCACCGTAGTCGTGACGACGGCCTATGACAGAAGCCTTGGACGCGGGTCGCACTTCGTTGGTGCTCTCAATCAAAATCTCCACAGGCTTGCCCTCTTCGAGATGGATCGACTTGAGTACATCTTCTGAAGCGGAGAACATAGCCTCGCCCTCCTGTATCCAGTCCCAGTTGTCGATGAAAATGTCGCCGTTGATGTACATGCGCCCTGGCCCAACTGACGCAAAGCTGAAGCTGTGGTTTCCGGTAGTCTTCGGTGTGAGTGTGGTCTTGACTTTGAAGGAAAAGTCTGGAAGAAGTTCCATTGGCGCAGAGTCCCATAGCCAGAGATCTGTGCTCACCTTGTGTTGAACGACCGCCGGCTCACCCTTGAACCTGTCGCCCTTGTAGTATTCTAACTGAACACCGGTCTCACCATTGGACCGGCAGTATGGTGAAGCAAGCGGTAGCCACTTCGAGCTATCGCAGCCTTGGGCAAATGTGATGTCTCCGTCGAATCGATTTTGGAGACCTTGCCAAGGTGTGACGTTGTAGTAGGGGTTGAGACCTGCGCTTCCTCCTCCACTGGCAATGGCTCGCTTGACATTTGGCCCAATCATCGCAATCTTCTTCGCGTTCTTGATGGGGAGTACGCTGTTCTCGTTCTTCAGAAGCGTCAATCCTTCGATACCAGCCTGGAGAATCAGGTTCCGCGTCTCCACGTTGTCGATCGACTGTTCCGGCTCCTCTGGTGTCATGTTGCTCAAACCCTTGACACGATCGACAAGATAGAGTACTCTGGCGGCGGATTCTTCGATATCACCACGGGTCAGCTCACCCTTCTCCAGACATTCCTTCACTTGGTCGATCTTGCGCCATTTGGACGGCCCGGGCATCTCAACGTCAACACCAGCTTTTATTGATGGTGCAGTCGCATATGTGCCCGTCCAGTCGGAAATAATGGCTCCGTTCCACTTCCACTCGCCTCGGAGAATCTCCTTGATCGAGTGCTCATACTCATCCGCGTGAATGCCATTGATCATATTGTAAGCACTCATGAGCGCCCAGGGTGATGCATCTCGAACAGCTATCTCGAAGGGCTTCAGATAGATCTCACGCAATGGCCGCTCAGCAACGATGGCATCGTACGCCTGCCGCTCAGTTTCTTGCTCGTTCCCAAGAAAGTGTTTGATCGTAGCTGCAACACCCTTGCTCTGAAGACCGCGAACATACGATGCAGCAAGCTTTCCAGTAAGGAAAGGATCTTCCGAATACGACTCAAAGTTGCGGCCACCAAGAGGGGACCGGTGCATGCACACGGTAGGCGCAAGCAACACGTTTGCACCACGAGCCTTTGCTTCTTCTCCGAGGTGACGGCCGATCTCCTCAATCATATCCAAGTTCCACGTGGAAGCCATGGATATGCCGCATGGGAATAAAGCGGCCTAGCTTCGTCAGCGTAAGACAAGCAGTGCCAAGCCGGAGTACGTACAGGTGTGCCGTTAGTGAAGAACTCTCCGCGAGCGCCATTGGGTCCATCTGATGTCTTGATTGACGGTATGCCCTTTTCGGGTATGGCTACAGTCCGCCAGAAGTCCGCTCCTGCAAGTAGTGAGATCTGGAATGGTCAGCCCGGCTCCGCTCAAGGCTGCTTCGGCTTTTGAATAGATTAACGAGGTCAGGTGGGATTCTAAGCGATCAGAAAAGCCATTCATTTTGATTACCGAATTTCGAGAACCAATCCTTCTAGACCTTCTGCTCCAAAAGACGGGCTGAGATAAGGGATTGTGGCTGGGGAATGACTCGTATCCCTACCAGAAAGACGTGTAGGGTAGAGTTGACACCCCCTTCTGCCTCAATCATTCGACATGACCGTATCGAACGCCGAAATTCGAGATATCTGCCACAAAAGTAAAGGCGAACATACCTGTTCCTCTAGAGTCAGCTTCGCCGCAAGTTCCCTCGCCTTGTCGTCCGGCCGCTCCATCGAGAAGATCTTCTTGCCCGCCATCGTTTCGTCTGCCGGGGAAGCCTCCTCTGGAGTCGCAGCAGGCGTCAAAGTAGGAGTAACGAGAGTGACTGGTTGGATGTGGATAGCCGCGTGCTTTATGTCGTGCTGTTTGATATCTTCCGTCGGACTAGCGTTTCCAAGGTTGATTGTAGCCATTGCAGATCAACCAGAATTAATCATTCGATAAATCCGGAGCGTTCGAGCGAATTGCCGCGCCTTCTTGCCACTGCAACCGGAGCGGTAACGAGCGAGGGGTTGGACGACGATGCGAACGAGAGAGGGAGGACAAGCTGAAGGATTAGCAGATTCAGAGGCAGTCAATCGAAGTAGATTGTCATCCTTTAGTACTTGCGCAGCGCTGGATGCGACTGTCTCTTGACGCATGGACCCAGGGAAAACGCTCGAGTACCGGATCTATTGGAAACAAGCCTTGTCCTAGTCACGGCTCGCAGGCACGTCGTCTCAGATCTACAAGGTAAGTATTATTGGTCGGCGGGGGCAATCAACCGAAGTTAACGCGCCCGTCTCGATCTGTCGACAGGAGGGAGGCTCATGTGTGATCTCAATCTAGATCCGTTGCAACGGCTTCTTGTGGCGAAATCCGAGAGTAACGCGAAGGGTACGATAGCAATCCTTTGATCCCCACCACGTTGCAGCTTTCTGAGCAAGTAAGAGCCAGACATCCCGCGCAAGTAGGTTGAAGGAGCAGGTGACACGTAGACTAGACATGCAAGTCTACGCCGCGCAGCGAGACATTCGTCTCTCGAGGTAAGCAGCGTGGAACTTGATTCGTCGCCTACTCTTTGTTGGACAGCTGTGATGGCGGACCTGAACCTCCGAAGCTAGTCTAAAAGGCAGTTGAGCAGCTTCCGAAGCGCACATTAGGCAGTCAAAGGATGATACAGCGCGGTTGCATACCAATCAGTGGTGGGAAATCTCGCAATGAGGTTGTAGCGGCCCGAGAGGCGGGTATGTTAGCGGGAACCCGGGCCAGTGAACCGTCTGCATCCTGGCTTGCATATCACGCTGACGAAGTCTCCGCCTGGGCCAAGCGAGCGTTGATTGTGGTTCATCGACACCATCGGACGTTGGAAGCAGTGACCAGACCAGAAAGTCGGAATGGAAACATCTGGACGTCGTCTGTTCTTGCCCCGCCAACGCCGCACGTGCACGATGTCGCGGTTGGATCTCAGACACACGAAGATCATTGCGAAGTCTGGCTATCTTCACCGAATCTTCAT